ATATATAAATTAGAGATGGGCTTAGACCTTTAAGATAAAGCTCCTTGATTTATTGGAAAGTTCAGACTGAATCAGACTTTGGTGGTTCAATCATCATCTCTTTAATAGGCTTAAACTGGAATTACAAACCTGAATTAGCCAAAACAGGGAGGAACGCTTAAGTTCTATAAAGTCCTAGAAGCAAACCCATTTTATAATCTTTCTGAACATCAGAAGTTGAGATCCTATCACAGAACTGTATTTGACAACTCTGACTTAAAGTTAGTGATTTTAGAGAAGATGTATTTATTGGTGCAAAGCCTTCAAAATGTGGAGAATTTTTACTTGATTAGGAAAAACTTTCCAAGATGCAAAGATTTATTCTGACTCATTGAACTTAAAGCCTGCAAGACTGAATCTTGACTTGATTTCATAAGGGTCCTTCTTTAAACTTGCTGCTATTTCTGCTGATAGATCAGGTCAGCATTTAGAAGGATGAGCAAAACATGAAAGAAAAGTTGTCCTAAAAACATGTTGCAAAAAAATTCTCAAGGTATATGTGTTGGGGTAGTGGGAAGAAATACCATTCCTTTATCTTTTCCCTCAACTGTTAATTTTGGGCTCATTCTTCTCTGACATCCAACCTAATCACAGTTGAGGTACTCCTTACCTTCTAGCTCTACTAAACCTTTCCTACTTCTGAAAGTTACACCACTTCTTTACTTTCCCAGGATTTACCAGCTGGCACTAAGGAGGAAATACAAAAGCATGGGGTAACACTGAAACTTAATTGATATATTCTACATTCAACCGCTATTGAAAACTGATCTTTTGTTTTCTCCACATTTACTGTTTCACACTTTCCTTTGAAAGCTAGAAGGCTTATGAATTGCAAGAGCTGCACTGTGAGTTACTCACGCTCTTACCTTTTACAGGATGAAGTCGTCACCTGCATCAATAAACTTCTATTTTTGGTGTGCTCCACTGGGCTCAGTGCTCCCTGGGGGTTCCTCTGAACCTCAGTCTTCCATGGACTCCGTGGCAAGTCCAGACACAATATGCTTAACAGTGCTGCCTGAGAAATATACTGTGCTTTGGGAACAGTGGTCAAGTATAACTCATTTTAATATTCTGAAACTATTTTTCTTGATTCTTCTGTGGTTTATCCAGATACTTAACTGATCCGTTATCTTGCTAGTTATTGGTGCTGGCAAGGACATAAATGCTGTCATGAGAAGAATTGAGTTGGTGATGGCTTAGCTTGAGTCCTTCTTCCCTCTGGCACTTCTGAATTTCCAGAAAGCTGAGTAACAAAAGTTGCTGCCCTTCTCTGAAAGCCTGACAAGGAGAGGGATTTGGTGAAGCTATCAGAAATGGGGACACTAAAGTGAGACTCACGGCTTGTTATTTAGGCATGTGAACAAGTGGCCTGATGTGGGGAGGTGGGGGGGGAGAAGAGGCAAGGAAACAAAAAAATCCATTTCTACTGCACGGTTGAAATTTTGGTTCTAATTACTTTGCTGGTGCAAATCACATGCCAAGGTTTCAGGCCACAGAACTGCTCATATCATTTCCTACCCACTTTGCAGAAAGGCAATTAGCAGAACAGTGGCATTAACAAGACAGCTTTACACGACCTTTCAAAGTGAAAACATAAAGAATCCCTAAAAGACCAACTACTTGTAAAATGTGAGAGGGAAGCTCTAGGCCTGATTTTTCGGAGGTGGGTGTGAGGCTTTGCCCACAGGCAATGTGACCCTCAGAGCCATCCCCCGCCCTCTGCAATCCCCACACCTCCCTGGCTCCCCAAGGGAGGGGGAACCTCCTGTCTTCTGCATTCGACCTTTGTATTTCATTTCTTGTACGGGAAAGGATGCTGCATGTCTCCGGGTGCCCTCTCATCCACATTTACCATAAACACCCAGAACACCTGTTTACTCTGACTCACCCACTCCTCACGCAGACTCTCCCTTTTTCTGACAGCAGACCTCACTCAGGTAGCATGTGCTGCTAATATCCTTTCAGAACCGTGTAATAACATGCCTTCTATCCAATTCCTAACATCCTTCAATCAGCTCAGCCAGTGGGCTAACTGCTTACACTCCTGTGATTTATGTAAGTGCAATTAATTTGAACTGCATCACTCTGGTGTTATGCTGGCAAAAATGCCCCGAGAGAGAGTACCTCACTGGTGAATCAGAGCCTTTGCTTTTAACAAACATACAAAAGAATAGATCCCGAGCCAGTGGAAATCTGCATGGCTCCATTCATTTCAACTTAAACCAGCTCAAGGTCTGAATCACAGCTCATGTAACAGACTATTTAGATACAGACTAATGCCTCACATCCTGTAATGCAATGCTTTCCCAGAGTTGGCAGGGGATGGGGATTTCTCAGATGGAACAGAGCTGAGAAGGGAGCAGGACCATAAATGCAAGCTTTTAAAAACACTTTGTGGATTTCTTAATTTCTGTGGAGTTGAGGAAAGCAACGGCTTGTGTGTCTCTCTTCGCAAGCACTGCTCTCCCATCTGGGAAGCACTGCGCTTGTTTCTCCACACCAGCTGTGAGGCAGGTACCTGGGAAGTCCCTTTCCTCGCCACTTTCCCTTTCCTCCTGTAGCCTCAGTGTATTCCCTGCAGCTTGGAAATCCATGTGACACCTTTCACTGGCAGACACCAGTGTCAGATGCTGTGCAGCTGAATCTTTTTAATCAGTTCTTGAAAATAGCTAAAACTTTCTCTGCACTTGTTTTGGCATCCTTGCAATCAAGAAGTCATGCAGCTTGACAAAGCGCTTTATTCTTACATGTCTTAACAGAACTAGAGGGATTTTTTTTTTCCACATCTATTCCAACACCTGCTGGGGTGGTCTCTGTGAAACACCCCTCCGCGTCGCCTCCCGACAGCACAGAACCCTAGCAGCACACCGGCACAGCATACCTGTATGTGCCCAGGCAGGTGTAGTCAATACACAAGGAGGGAGGGGGAAGGGGTGGGGAGGGCAGACCAAGAGTCAATCAAAGTGTAATTTATGTTAGAAATTTACCAGCATTCAGCTGCCCATATTTTCAAAATGCAAATATTTTAAAATTAAAAAGCCTGTCTGTGGCTAAACATCTCCTCTAAATCAATCGAGATAACTAGAAAATACTGTGGCATATTTAAAAGACTTTCATCCTAAATTAAACACATAATACAGATTATAGCCTCATAGGAAATCAAGAGGTCCTAAATGTACTAATGGAGAAGGACGTTTAAGAGACATTTAAATTACCCAGTCTATAATTTTGGGGGGGTTGCTTATCTGTGTATCTTTTATCTGCTTTGGATAATTAGGAAAATCTTGGCAGTGCCCTAAGAGGATAGGCAAAAGAGTGACACAACTACTCCCAAGGAAGCAAAGGTCGAGGGTTTTCATTCTGCAGATTTTTAAAGTAAAATAGAAAGTGTTCTTCATATGGACAGTCTGAAGCAGTATGCATATTGTATAAAACTTATCACCCTGTTCTGAAATGCCATTTTTTCCAGGGCTTCTCCCTCTCCTTGAACTCACTCGCAGTATCTGGCTGGCCCTGCTGCCTGGCAAGCAGGGCGCAGGTTAGGGAGGCAGGCTGCTATCTGCAGCCTTTCCTAAACTCAACTATTCAAAGGCAGTTCCCAAACGGAGCAGGCACACGGTCAGTTCAAAGGCTTCCCATTAGCTTTGCCGGCTAACTTGTTATCTTGTAATGTCCCCCTCCTCCTGCCCTTAATGAACAGTTTGTTCCATTGTTATTCTTGTATCAGACATCTGGAAACCAGACTTGTTTGGTTTTTGGTTGGTGGGGGTTTTTTTGGTTGGTGTTTTGTGGTTTTTTTTTTTAAAAGGAAGATTTTTTTCAAAAAAGCGTTTCGTTGCCTGTGACTTATCCAGATCTCTGTCAGGAAAAAAAAAATAATTCAGCTGAATCAGTAAACTGCCTTTTTTTTTTTTTTTAAGCACTTTGACCAACACCAAACGCTGCAGAGCACCGCACCCCCCGCTGCAGTGGGGTAACGCGCCCTGCCCGCCGCCGGCTCCTCCGCTCACAGCTGTCTCCAGCGGGAGGAGCTGAAACCCGACCCAAACCCTGGGAGCAGGGATTGGATCCCTCCTGCCAGCAGCCAGAGAGCCCTCCCAGAACAGAAAAAAAAAAAGCCAGCCTGTTTGGAAAAGTGCTTGAGAGAAGATCCCCGAGTGATTGGAGGAGCGGCAAACCCTTCCCCCCTGCACCTGACTCGTGGGTATTTACAGCACTTTTCAAGGCGCCTCTGCATTGCCACTACACGGCCGCAGTGGATGGACTGCGCGGGGCGGGTGTCGCGACAGGGACCGATGAGCTCGCAGTGATTGAGTGTGTGTCTGTGCTGCACACCAGCCCCGGGACCGTTACACCCACCCGCGAGGAGAGCCTGGGAGAAGGAGAAAGCCCTGCATCCAAAATGCCACGCTCTTTCCTGGTCAAGAAACATTTCAATTCATCCAAGAAGCCGAATTACAGCGAACTGGACACTCATACAGGTAACAAAAGAAGATTTCTAATGCCACCGCGTCACTTCTGAGGTTGCGGTCCTTGCGTGGCAGTGCTGAGGAGGGGTGGGATTGCTTTTTGATCTTGAGGGAATGGGTTAGTCCATTGCTAGCTCTTTTCTTCTCTTGCTTACAAGGAGGGAGTTTTGAGAAATACGTCAGTGCTGCCCAGAATGAAACATAAAGTTTGCTCAGCCACTTGAACTCAGTTACTTAGAGAGGATTTTTGAGTTTTCCTGTTCTGTATCTGCTGGTGTTGGAATTGAAACTTTTACACAGACCCGTCAGGAAGTTTCACCGATTCATTGTGTCAGGCTGCACAGATTTAGAAACGGCATGCTGCCTTGAAGGGAGTCTCCAACTGTGATTTTGCTGTTCAAGGGCACTGTCTCTACCCATCAGAATATATGTATGAAGCAGTATTTCCTTAATGCTCCGTATATGCAGATGACCCTACTGAGTGCTTAATTTATACACCTTTTAATCTCCCAAATGTTAATTTTACTGCCTTTTGAAATACTTTTGGTTCTCTTACCTTGAAATTTTCTTCTTTTTCCAGTGATTATATCCCCATATCTGTATGAAAGCTATCCAGTCCCTATCATACCACAGCCAGAGATCCTGAGCTCAGTAGCTTACAATCCCATTACTGTGTGGACTACAACCGGGCTGCTACCGTCTCCCTTACCCAACGACCTCTCTCCACTTTCTGGATACCCCTCATCTTTGGGAAGAGTCAGCCCACCTCCACCTTCTGACACCTCCTCCAAAGATCACAGTGGCTCAGAAAGCCCCATTAGCGATGAAGAAGAGAGAATCCAGTCCAAGCTTTCAGACCCTCATGCAATTGAAGCTGAAAAGTTTCAGTGCAGTTTATGCAACAAGACCTATTCAACTTTCTCTGGGTTGGCCAAACATAAGCAGCTGCACTGCGATGCCCAGTCTAGGAAATCATTCAGCTGCAAGTACTGTGACAAGGAGTATGTCAGCCTGGGAGCGCTTAAGATGCACATCAGGACCCACACGCTACCTTGTGTCTGCAAGATCTGTGGCAAGGCTTTCTCTAGACCCTGGCTACTTCAAGGACACATTAGAACTCACACTGGTAAGAATAACCATTGTAATTGCAGGTTTTTGTTGCTATTAACATCAGGATGCCTTTTTGCTATTTTTCTCCACAGGTGGAAAAAGCATCAGTGTTTCTTTGCTAACCTTGAAATGTATCCACAGGATTTCATATGCATTGTTAAAAGGCTAAATTCCCCTTCTTGGGGGGGGGTGGGAGGAGAGTGTTGCATGGTCTTACCACTGTAAGACAGATACTGACATAAATCAGCTTTGCTCCTTTGATAATTTTAGGATGGTTTAGCCCATTACTCCTGGCTGAAAGTTTTGCTTTAAGGATTTTACGTTAACTTTCAATCTTGGGAAACTTTGAGAAGGCTCCAGCTGACTCTGAGGTCAAGCAGCAAAACAGAAAGGCAATGCACGAGGGGCTGCTTTCTGACCCCTTAAGCAACTGGCAAGTTTTACATGCGCTATCACAAGTCTTTAAGGATTAAGAACACATCATCACTGAAGAGACCTTGATTTTTTTTTTTTTCTGTTGAAGCAAAAACTTGATTTTAACACTGGGTACAATGTAATGACTGTACCACTGTTTGCTGCTTTTCAGTCAAAGCCCTTCTCCCCAGTAATTCACACAGTGCTAAGCAGGAAAAGTTCTATGAAACTACTTTGAAACGTTAGGAGAAGCCCAACCTAAAAGTACTGCCTGCACCTGTAGATGCAGAAGGTGTCAGCACCTGCACTATGCAGCACATTCTGAAAAGGCTGAGTTCTGCAAGTACAGTCAGCAGTGCTGAAAGATGTTGTATCTGTGGCCTTTATTGCACTCTCATTATTATAATAAATATTTTTTGTTTATTCATTTGTTTCTTAGGGTAAAAGTGGGTTCTACCTCTCCTAAACACATACTTTTTTTTCAAGTGTTATCCTATTTTTCCTCAATGTTTCCTTTTTTAGGAGAGAAGCCATTTTCCTGTCCTCACTGCAACAGGGCTTTTGCAGACAGATCCAATCTGAGGGCTCATCTGCAGACCCACTCGGATGTGAAGAAGTACCAGTGCAAAAATTGCTCCAAAACTTTCTCCAGAATGTCTCTTCTGCACAAACATGAGGAATCTGGCTGCTGTGTAGCACACTGAGTCATGCAGTCGATGTTTACCTGGACTCCATGCATTTCTCCACTCCTGGTCCAGATGATAAGTGGAAATCCAAAGGCGTTTTCTTGTCTGCTTTTCAGCCAAAAAAAAACCCCAAACCACCACCAAGCAAGCAAACAACCAAACTAGTGGAAGAACTTAGAATGTCAGTAGAAATGAGCTTTCAGTAGTTTCTGTTCAGTTACACATTCGCACTCTTAAGCATGAATTTTGAAATATGGGGAAAGACACCATGCATGACATTTCAAGTAGAACTAAAGGAAGAAGCATTATCAACTTTCTTTATAGATGAAGCCAAATGTAGGTTGTCTTTTCTTGCTTAGAAAAGGCTGCAAAGTTAACAGTATGTTCCTGCCAAACCATTTCAACCAAAGAAACAGTGTTTTAAGTGGAACTTTTAATAAAAATGCTACCCAAGTGAATTTTGCTAGACACCATTTATCTCAGGTGCCTTAGAAAGTATTTCGAGTTTACCTTAGTAAATGTTTAATATTATTCATTGCTGTGTTTTTTTTATTTTATTTTATTAGAAGCCAAGGCCTTCATTAATGATCTGAAATGCTTTAAGTCTGTATAATTAAGAGAAGAAAGGAAAAAAAACATGTAAGAGAATGTATGAAAAATTGAAAGCCACAAATTAACCGCATGTGCCTTCTTTTTAGGAAAGAAAAGAAAAAAAAAAAGACTGTAGCTTCAAACATTCCTGGTGCATGCTTGACCATCTTTTAATATTGAATTAAACTTTAAACTTAAATCTTTTTTAAAAAACGGGAATAAGTGCAAGAGAGGGGTTCATGGGAGTTTGACAATTATTTTTTTAAAATGCACAAAGGAAATGCAATATTTTCAGCATTACCCCTCCAAGTGCCTTTTTATTGATGATTTTGTAAAGTATGTGGACATAATGTAAATATTTTTATTTTTATATGATTGAATGTGTTATGAATGAAAGTGAATTGTTGTCTATAGCAGCATCTATAGATAACTTGAAGAAAGTGTGAAGTGAAATCTATGTTGTTTTCTAGCCACTTTTTTACAATAAACTTTTTTAAGTAAGATTTCTGTTGTTTATTCTAATTAAAGAAAACAAGTGTCTGGTTTATCAAGGCTTTGGAACATAGAAAAATGCAGATGTCTCTACATGACCAAATGAAGATAAAGGTAAATTTCAGATACAAATCCCTAGTTCACAAGTTCTGAAAGGAATATACCACGGGTCCTGTTTTGAAACATTTAAAACCATTCAGAGCATTTTTCTAGAGTCAGTACTTAAAAACACTGTTGCTTTTTTTGCTACTTGCAACAGTATGACAACATTGTGAAATATATTTTGTCAAAAATACTCAAAAGAAACTCTTTTCTTGCATTTTAACAGTTGAAAAGATGCTATTAGAGCAGCCTTATTATAGCACTTTTTCTGAGACACTGACATCAGGAAAACTGGGCCTGATCCAAAGTTCACTGAAGTGAGTGGAGCCTTACAGGAGTTCAGTAACATCTGCTTGATGCGCTTTTAAAGGGGTAGTCAAGTCACAGTATGACATATTTTATATGGCCATTTCAGAAAGATTAATAAAAATATCTTTAAAGTACCTTACATATCAGAACTGTCTAGTGAATGTGTATCAGCTAATATATAACAAGAAAGAATTATTCAGTAAAAAAAGTAGAAATATTTTTCTTCAGATTATATGATTAAGGACTCTATGACCTGAACTATATAGAAGTTTTACAGCATCAACAAATCATGTCTCGTCATTGCTGACTAGTGCAAAACAACGCTATTTTAACAAAGTACAAAGCTAAAAAACTAGATAAGCACTAGTTGGCATCCAGTCTAAAGACTGCTATGTCTACATCAGGTACCAGCAGGAGCAAGCAATAACAAAAACAAAATTCCAACAGTTTAACAGGAGTGTAACTGATGGATAAACACAAGGTGCACATTTATTGAAAAAGAGTACATTTCAGCAAAATAAGACAACAGTCCATGCATGCTTTGTGTTTCCTCTAGCTGAGTCCTGCAGAAGAGGAAGTCAGCAGGACTGCACTGAAGGGAAGTCAGCAGGACTACACTGAAGTAACGTAGGCAATAGGCACATGACAGAAGTTTTGTACCTCTTCCCCACGGGAAGTACAATACTGTAAAAAGATCATCTCAAATGAAGCTTTTTATAGTCTCCAAGCATCTTCTGACAAAATCTCATGGTTATAAAAATAATTTCCTAGGACCTGCTAGGTTGTTTTTTTCTTCAGGAAATAGCTAGAGAGTTCAAAAAAGATAGGGTTAGTGGGAATTTGTGTGGTAACATTTTGAAATGAACACATGAAGGCATCAAATACCCTTGAAAAGTTTCATGTGGGTACTCTATTGATTTGCACTTCCATGTCATTTGCTTTGAAGTTCTTGGGCTCCAGAAGCTCTTCGTGCAGCTTTCTCTTCCCAGAGCAAGGTTTACTGGAGTATGAGTAAAGCTGTGGCAGTTAACAACTATTTGTACTGCCAGAGTTCTAGGTTTGCTCTCCTGTGTCCTGTCACAAAGGCTTTTCCATTGTTTTAATTCACATTTTAAATTCTCTACACTCATAGTAAATGAAATAGCATAAGAGCTTGACTGGTTGAATGAGTGGAAATGCTACTGTTGTCCTTAAGGGAAATCAGATGAAAACTTCATCAAAACACAGTATGCTAAACCAAACACAAGTGGAACTGGTCTGATTTGGAGATGACAATTAAGATATGCTACTTTGCATGCCTGTAACACCTGTACTCATAAAATACAAAGATGGGAAAGGCTGGAAGCTCTTCTGGTTCATCTCTTTAATTGAAACAGAGTGCTCGATCACAAATCCCTAGCTCTCCATCCAGTTGCAGCATAAACATCCCAGGCAGTTGAGTTTCTATGCTTTTCCTGTGAGACTGCTTTGTGTCAGGATGTTTCTACTAAACAATTTCCATTAATAGTTTTACCTCATTACTCTAGAAATGCCCTTCTGTACCTGCACAAGCTATTTATCAATGTAAATTGAATTCTGTTCTAGACTGCTGGTTGTTGACTCCTTTGACTTTCTCAAAAGTGATGAAAAAGCTCCCTCCACAGTGAATCTACCCATTAAGTCTCTTTGGCCAGCACTACATTTCCCACAAAACATCTCTCATTCTATATCCAAATAATCAACTTTTTAAATCTTTCTTAGGAACACATGCTTACCGCACTCCAAATATCTTCATTGTTCTTTCCTGTAATCATTCACCTTTTTTCTTTTGCTTTTAATTTTTGAGTCCAGTGCTAAATGTGATTCTTCTAAGTGAAAAGTTAATCTATTAAAAGACCAGTTTCTTCTCTAAAGACACCTGAATAATAGCAGAATATATACAATATGATTCATACTTTTTTTTTCCTCTTCACTAATGAGCTGTTTAACATTGGTTCATCCAGGGAAGGAACTTTTGCTCAGAGGTTACTCCAAATCTCTAAATGCATATCTGTCAGCTTATATGATTGCCCATTATAGGAATTGAGGAATAGATCTTTCCTTTAGGATGTTCTGGCAATCTGCTTTCACCTCCTGAGTGTACTTTCAGCATGTGGACAAGAGCTGAACCACCACAGGACATGTGCAGTTACAAGTGAAATGTATGAGTTTCTCAAGGCTGAAGGCAATAATAGATTAATTCTGGTTTCCTCTTTTCCCTTGCTTCCATTTGGTCATGTTCTTCATCTCAGAGACTGCAGAATGAAGAAAGATGTGCATGAAAGGAAGACAGAACAAACTAGACATTTATACTCAAAGCACTGCAATTATTCTACCATCTAATGTGGAGTGGAGAAAAGCATCTTATGTACTCACTAAAGGGTTAAAATAAGTACCTCTCAGATTAAGGCATCATTAAATCTGTCTTCTGTATTTTACTCTGTTATTTGGGTTATTATAGTTCTTATTATCATCAAGCAAGCTCAGGATCTAGTACTCTAAGCTCCACAAAATCATATAAAAAAGAAGCACCCTAAAGATCCTGTAATTTCAATTTTAAAAGGGAGGACAATGGGAAATCTGGTAATTTAATTCTGATGTCTTGTGCTAGAGCTGATGTTCCCTGCCACATAAGTAAATCAATATTTCATCTTAAAATGCTTTTTTATTTTTGAATAAGACATTTTTGATGCTGAGCAACACTACTTTAGTGTTGGTTTTTATTAGCTGTCCCAGATGTTTGTTTTAGTCTCTTTGGAGTGTGAGTTTTAACTGTTAAAATATATAATTATAATTCTGGTTCACAGAAATATAAAGAGTGGAATGTAAGAAGCACACGCCAACCTGCATATATTGTAGTATCAAATGACAGCTGCAAGAAAGAAGAACAAGTGAAATCATAGAGTCGCAGAACAGTTGAGGTGGGAAGGCACCTCTGGAGTTTGCCAAGCCCAACCCCTCTGCTCAAAGCAGGGTCAGTAGATGAGTTTAACCAAGGTTGTGTCCAGTTGGGTTTTGAATGTCTCAAAGAATGGAGACTCAATGACTTCTCTGGAAAAACCTGTGCCAGTGCTCAGTCACTCTTATGGTAAAAAAATGATTTTTCTTATGTTTAAATTGAATTTTCTGAATTTCAGATGGTGTGCACTGCCTCTTGTCCTGTCATTGGGCAACAGTAAGAATTTGGCCATCTTCTTTACACCCTCTCATCAGGTATTTATACACATTAATAAGTCCCTCCCATGTGAGAGATGGTCATCTCTTAAATATCTTTGTAGTCCTTCATTGGTGTCCAGTATTCTCATGTCTACCTTGTACTGGTGAGCCCAGAACTGGGCTCTGCACTGCAGATGGATAGAGGTGGAAATATCACTCAGTTTCTGATGGGATGCTGGTAGGATGTGTAAAGGCTGTGGAAACTGTATGAGCTGTAACAGTAGAGTACAAACAAAAATTATCTTTGCATGATCTGTCCCTTCAAAAAAAAATTAATTCATTCCAAACTTATACAAAGTCATCAGGAACTTTGAAGGATGTGGAGTATGGGACTGTGCTTTCCTAGGAGAGAAAGATTTGCCCTGTCCTCTTGCAGAGTGCAGCCTCAGCTGAGTACGTGGCATGGGTTCCTTAAGGGGATGCACACCTTTTGCTGCAGAGCCATATCCTTTTTGAGATACTGTATGAAACATGGCTTAACAAATTCTTTGAAGCTGTGGTGTAGCCTAATTGCATACTTTCATTTCTGTCTTTTCTGAGGGATACATAGCCAAACCAGGCTAGAGATTAAAAAAAATAAATTGAAAACACACAGTGGTGTTGTTTTTACCTATTTGGCAATTTGGTCACCTTGTTCCTCTTCACT